GACAGGAAGAGAGCAAGAGGGCGTCCGCGTGCACGCACGCGCGCGCGCGCGTATGTGTGTATGTGTGTGTGTGTGTGTGTGCGCACGCGTATGTGAGCGTGTGTCCGTGTTCATGTGCGTGTGCGCGTGTGGATGTCCGTGTGTGAGTGCAGGTGTGGTTGGGGGAGGGGACAACCCTGCAACGACGTCATAGCGGCCTTCCATGCCGCCCATCTTCACGCCTTCATAGGTTTGGAAGGCCAACCAGCACCTGCGCACCTCTTGAACTGCAGCGCTAACCTCCACAACCATCACCCAAAGAAGCTTCGCCATTCTCTCCCTCCCTTTTTCCCCTCCCCTTGCCCCCTCCCCTTGCCCCGTCCCCGCCCCTCACTCTTCTCTGCGTCGTGCCGCCACTCGTCCAGCGCGCGCACCACCGCGGGCATCACCACGTTCTTGAACTCCGGCACGTTGAGAGGCACCTTGCCGCTCATGGCCGCCTCCGTGTGGTCACCCGCCGCCGCGGCCGCCTCGCGCGCGGCGCTGACGAGCATCGAGTACACTGCAGACACACACTGGATGACGGGGCCCTCCACCTGCGATGGCGGGGGCGATCGCGGCGTTTTGGGACGCGTTTCAGCGCCGGCGGCGATCGGAGCAGGCGGCAGTGGTGGTCGGGAGTGGGGCGGCGTTGGCGGTGGGCCCGACAGCGGAGCGGCACGCTCCTATTGGCGGGCTGTATGCCACTGCGGCGGGAGGAGGGCCACAGCGACCTCCACGTCCCCCTCGAGAGGACAAAAATGAATGTATGGGAAAACTTGACGTGCGTGGGACAAGAACAGTTGCGACGTGCCGCCGTCGACCCCCTCCCCCATGCGTCAAGCAGCCCCGACCCCCCCTTCAACGCCAGGACCAGCCCTGCCGCCCGCACCTGGTCCAGGGCCTTGGCGGCCATGAGGCGCAGGCCGCGCTCAGGGGACACCATGTGGGGCTGGTAGCCATCCGCTGTCCGCGTGATCTGCAGGTCAGGGACATTTGGGGACCAGGGTTGTGGGGGAAGGCGGGGGGGGGGGGGAGGCCACGGGCCGCCGTCCGAGCTCAAGGCGCGCCGCTGCCAAGGAGGACGAGACTGACCGCATCCCGGGGAGCCGCCGCCGCCTCGCTCTCGCTCCGGCCTCTAGCGTCGCGCCCGCCGCCGCGGCCGGCCGCGTGCGCTCCCCCTGGCGCAAAAGCGCAGCGGCACCAAACCGCTGTCCACTGCATCGCCGCCACTGGCGACCTTCCCCCCCCCCTGGGCCCCACCACC